CTTGGATATTAGAAGACACACATGCTAATGGCTATTCATACACAATTGAGTATGACTTAGGAAGTGTTGCTATGTTGAGACAGCCACATAAAGTTATGATAACTCTTACTAAAGTGCTTCTCAGACTATAGCTGCTGAAGACACTGATGGAGGTTTTGGGGAGAAAGAAGTAATTCTATGAAAAACTGATGACTGTACTAGAGAGGGGGGGCATTTAATTTAAGAAACCTCTATTGGGGTAAAAGCTATCAAAAGATGATTAGAATCTGCATGATCTGATGCTTTTCCACTTATCTTTAAGAATAATGCAGGCCAGCTCTGTGGCTTAATAGGCTAATCCTCCGCCTTGCAGCACCGGCACACCGGGTTCTAGTCCCAGTCAGGGCACCAGATTCTCTCCCTGTTGCCCCTCTTCCAGGCCAGCTCTCTGCTATGACCCAGGAGTGCAGTTGAGGATGGCCCAAGTGCTTGGGCCCTGCACCCCATGAGAGACCAGGATAAGCACCTGGCTCCTGGCTTCAGATCAGTGCGGTGAGCCGGCCGCAGCACGCCGGCCACAGCGGCCATTGGAGGGTGAACCAATGGCAAAAGGAAGACCTTTCTCTCTGTCTCCCTCACTGTCCACTCTGCCTGTCAAAAAAGTAAATAAATAAAAGAAATAAAAAAAGAATAATGGAAACTGGAGCTGGGCTGTGGTGTAGTATGTTAAGTTTCCACCTTGAGTGCTAGCATCCCACATTTCATAAGCTCAAGTCCCTCTGTTCTATAGCAAGAACCCTGTAAGAGTGAAAGGAATTCAACAACAACAAAAAAACTAAACATCCAGTAAAGTAATGGAAAACACCTTCATCATGCATTTTTCAAAAAGAAGAAACTGAAAAGGCCAAAGTCACTTAAAAAATTCTCAGGACTACTAGCCACCAGGGAAATGAAATCAAAACCACCATCAGGTTTCACCTTACCCATCATAATGGCTCTCATACAGAAATCAATTAACAACCTATTCTGGAGAGGACTCAGGAAAAAAGGTAGCCTACTCCACAGTTGATGAGAATGTAAACTGATGCAGTCATTGTGGAATACAGTATGGAAATTTCTGAGCAAGAAAATATATCTGCCATGAGACCAAGCCAACTGACTCCTAGAAATTTACAGAAACAAAATGAAATCAGCATGAAAAGGGGTCATCTGTACCTCCAAGTTCATTGCAGCTCAATTCAAAATAGCTAAAATATGGAATCAACCCAGATATCCATCAACTGATGACCGGAAAAAGAAATCCTGGCATGTATACTCTAAGAATGTTTATCAGTAGTAGAAAAAAAAAAAAGAATCCTCTCTTTTGCAACAACATTGATGCAACTGGCATCCATGATACTTAAAGAAATGAGCCAGTATCAGAAAAGACATATGCCATGTGTGTCTAGACAGAATCTAGAAGCAACTTAAAATACAAGGTCAATGGTTCTAAGAAAATGGACAACAGACTCGTTATTGTAAAAAGAAAGAATCATTATTTGACTTACGATATAAAAATGGGATGGTTCAACTTTCGCAAATCAATCAATGTGATACACCACATTAACAAACTGCAGAAGAAAAAACATATGATTATCTCAATAGATGTAGAGAAAGCATTTGATAAAATACAACACCATTTCATAATGAAAACTTACCTAAAGTTTTCATGATGAAAACTCTAAGCAAATTGGGTGTGGAACAAACATTCCTCAACACAATCAAAACAATTTATGAAAAACCCACGGACAGAACCTTATTGAATGGGGAAAAGTTGGAAGCATTTCCACTGAGATCTGGTACCAGACAGGGATGCCCACTCTCACCACTGCTATTCAATATAGTTCTGGAAGTTTTATACACAGCCATTAGTCAAGAAAAAGAAATTAAAGGGATACAAATTGCAAAGGAAGAAGTACAATTATCCCTCTTTGCAGATGATATGACTCTTTATTTAGGGGATCCAAAGAACTCTGTTAAGAGACTATTGGAGCTCATAGAAGAGTTTGGCAAAGTAGCAGGATATAAAGTCAATGCACAATAAGCAACAGCCTTTGTATACACAGGCAATGCCATGGCTGAGAAATAAATTATATGATCTATCCCATTCACAAGAGCTACAAAAAAAATCAAGTACCTTTGAATAAACTTAACAAAGGACATCAAAGATCTCTACAATGAGAATTATAAAATCTTTTTTTTTTTTTGAAAAGGCAGAGTGGACAGTGAGAGAGAGAGACAGAGAGAAAGGTCTTCCTTTTTGCGGTTGGTTCACCCTCCAATGGCCGTTGCAGCCGGCGCGCTGCAGCTGGCACATTGCGCTGTTCCGAAGCCAGGAGCCAGGTGCTTCTCCTGGTCTCCCATGCGGGTGCAGGGCCAAAACACTTGGGTAATCCTCCACTGCACTCCTGGGCCATAACAGAGAGCTGCCCTGGAAGAGGGGCAACCAGGACAGAATCCGGTGCTCCGACTGGGACTAGAACTTGGTGTGCTGGCACCGCCGGTGGAAGATTAGCCTATTGAGCCATGGCACTGGCCAGAGAATTACAAAATCTTAAAGAAAGAAATAGAAGAGGATACCAATAAATGGAAAATTCTTCCATGCACATGGATTGGAAGAATCAATATCATCAAAACTTCCATTCTCCCAAAAGCAATTTATAGATTCAGTGTGATACCAATCAAAATGCCAAAGAAATTCTCAGATCTTGAAAAAATGATGCTGAAATTCATATGGAAGCACAGGAGACCTGAAATAGCTAAAGCAATCTTGTACAACAAAAACAAAGCCAGAGGCACCACAATACCAGATTTCAAGACTTACTGGAGTGGATCTATAATCAAAACAGCCTGGTATCACAATGGATGGGTAGAACAATGGAACAGAATGGAAACACCAGAAATCAATCCAAACATCTATAGCCAAGTTATATTTGATCAAGGAGCTAAAACAAATTCCTGAAGAAAGGACGGTCCATTCAACAAATAGTGCTGGTAAATTGGATTACCCATGCAGAAGCATGAAGCAAGACCCCTACCTTATATCTTACACAAAAATCCACTCACTATGACCCAGCACTTTCAAATTATTAGAGGACATCAAAGAAACCCTGCAAGATATATGCACAGGTAAAGATTTCTTGGAATAGACCCCAGAGGTACAGGAAGTCAAAGCCAATATTCACAGTTGGATTACATCAAAAATCACTTTCTTATGTCTGGTATTGGCAAAAGTAAATCAAAGCCAGATTGATAATAAATAGAAATGAAGAGATGGAAAAGAAGTTTAGAGAATCACTTCTATGTATAATGAAAACTTGATGTGTGATTATCACATCATTTTATTTATTTATTTTTTTACATCATTTTAAATTCATATGAAATGATATATAATTCAGCATTTTCTTGACAATGAATTACACATTATAATGATTTAACATGTCTAAAGATTGCGCTGAAATATTTCAACTATATTAATAAGCTTATTTTAATATAGACTAATGACTTAATAAAAACAGCAAAGAAATGTGTAACTCATTTTATTAAAATATGAATATGACAATGTCAATGAGTTGACATTGAAAATACAGGATTGAAAAGAAATGAAAAGTTTCAAGGGGAGCCTTTATCTGAGATTGGTTTTGTGCTTATGAACATAAAACCCAGACTAAGAAATTAGTTCATAGTATTATTTTGAAGAGAGAAGGAATGGGTCCAGCATGGGGGTATAGTGGCTATAAGTAGCACCTATAACCCCGACATCCCATGTTGGTGCCAGTTCATGTCTTGTCCGCTCCACTTGCAATCCAGCTTTTTGTTAAGATCTAGAAAATGCTCCCGGGAGGTCACCATATTGATGCCGAACTTAGTGCGGACACCCGATCGGCATAGCGCACGACAGCCCAGAACTCCTGGACTCAAGCGATCCTCCGGCCTCAGCCTCCCGAGTAGCTGTGAGATCCCAGTGGAAAGAACAGGTCATCAAAGAAGGAGGTACCTTTCTCTGAAGGGAGGAGAGAACCTCCACTTTGACTATGACCTTGTCTAAACAAGATAAGAGTCGGAGAACTCAGAGGGCTTCCATAGCCTTGGAAACTCATGACTGGAGCATAGGGAGATTACTGATGCCATAGACAGGAGTGTCAATTGGTAAAGTCAACAACAGGAGTCACTGTGCACTTACTCCTCATGTAGGATCTCTATCCTTAATGTGCTGTACATTGAGATTTAATGCTATAACGAGTACTCAAATAATATATTTCACTTTGTGTTTCTATGGGGGTGCAAACTGTTGAAATCCTTACTTAATGCATACTAAACTGATCCTCTGTAAAAAAAAAAAAAAATTATCAATTCCCAACTTGACTCTCACTGGGATTAAACATGACAATAGGTCTGCTCTGATTTCATCATCATTTTAAAAAATCATCTATTATTTTTCACTTTATGTTTCTGTGTGGGAGCAAACTGTTGAAATCCATACTTGATGTATACTAAGCTGATCTTCTGTATATTAAGATAATCAAAAATGAATCTTGATGTGAATGGAAGGGGAGAGGGAGTGGGAAAGGGGAGGGTTGTGGGTGGGAGGGACGGTATGGGGGGGAAGCCATTGTAATCCATAAGTCGTACTTTGGAAATTTATATGCATTAAATAAAAGTTTAAAAAAACATAAAAAAAAAGATCTAGAAAATGCTTTGGAAGATGGCCTAAGCCTTTCTGTCCTTGACACTCACATGAAAACCTGAATTAACCTCCTTGTTTGGCATGAACTAGCACTGGGCCACTACAGATATCTTCAGATTCCATAACCAGATGGAAGGTTTCTCCCACACTCTATCTTCATTTTCTGTAAATTGCACCTTCAGAACAAAAACATATTAAGAAAAGTATAAATTGTTCCTAAGGAGGGTACATTATACAAGTTATTTTTAACATCAGAATGCAAAAGCAGTTTTATAATTTTAGATTCTAACCAATAAAAACTGAGAGAGCCTAAGAGCTACACCTGAGAACATATGTTTCCTTAGAAATTCTTCTATCCCTTAATCCTTTCAAAGCATTCTTCTCAGGTCTTAGGAGAATAATGTAGCACTTGGGAACAAAGATGCAGCCCAGGAGCCCCGCACTGGAGCACAAGATGGAGAAGACCTCCACAGCCACCATGACCTTCCCCTTGGTGCTGTGGTAGACAGGCAGGAAGGTCACCCAGACACTGCAGAACACCAGCATGCTGAATGTCAGGAACTTGGCTTCATTGAACTTGTCAGGCAGATTCCTGGCTAGGAAAGCCACAGTGAAGCTGGCCATGGCCAAGGAGCCCAGGTAGCCCAGGACACAGTAGAAGGCAATGACTGAGCCCTTGTTACACACCAGGATGATGTGGCCATGCTCTGAGTGTGCATCTGTGTCAATAAAGGGAGGAGAAGTCCCAAGCCAGATGCCGCAGAGAGCCAGTTGGATCAGGGAGCAGATGGGAATAATGGAGTTAGGTACCCCTGATATCAGCCACTGTCTCATCCTTCTCCCTGGGGCAGTGACCTTGAAGGCCAGAACCACAGTGATAGTTTTGGCCAGGACATTGGAAACAGCCACGGTGAACACTACTCCAAACATGGTCTGCTGGAGGACACAGGTGGTTGTGTTGGGACGACCAATAAACAATAAGGAGCAGAGGAAGCAGAAGATGAGGGCGATGAGCAGCATGTAGCTGAGACAACGATTGTTGGCCTTGAATAGGGGAGTGTCTCGGTGCTTCACAAAGACCCCAAGAACCACAGCAGTGAGGACAGAGAAGCACAGAGCTGTGCAGACCAAGGTCATCCCCAGGGGATCTTCAAAAGACAGAAAGGTCACTTTTTTGTGGAAGCACTGGTTTCGCTCTGTGTTGGCATACTGATGATCCAGACACTTCATACACTGGTCCGTATCTGGCAAGAAACGTACAATAACATCATCCTGAGTTCAGTTATTTCTGATTCACAAGGACCTTCTGGAATAACGGACATAGCTAGTTTAGGCAAATAGCCCTAATTTGATGTTGAAATAGCATATAAAATAACATCTAGGAAATTATTAGCCATTATTCATGCCCATCTTCCTCATGTTAGCCAGAGTTATTACTTCATCTCTCTAACTACCTTGCATACTGATGTGTACATGTACTTTTTCTCCTAACAAAGCCCTACAGGCTACTCTCTGAAACTACTCCTGATGCTTTAAATCCTACCTTTTTTGCCTGTATCATTTTAACACCGCAAATTCATTCTTCATGGTTTCTCCACACTTGGAAGTGGTGATCAAGATTCCAGAGGTTTCCATGTATTATAAAGACTACTCTGACCTTTATATATGGCACATGCTTGATGCATCCTCACTTTCAACAAGAGCAAGCAGCAGTCCTGTTTTCTTAAGTTTTTATGTAGTGATTGCATTTTTTTCATAATTTTTTATTTTAAAGTTTTTATTCAACAAATGCATTTTTTCATAGATAGAACTTTAGAAATATTGTGTTCCTTTCCCCTAAACACAACCTCCCATCCCAACTCTCATCCCACCTCCCTCACCCTCTCCCATCTCCTTCTTCATTATGTTACATTTTTATTTGATTTTATATACAGAGGACCAACTCCATATAACATATAGATTTCAATAGTTTGCATCCACACAGACACACTACATATAGAGTACAGTTTGAGAAAAAAATTGCAGTCGATTCTCACAGTTCAACTCATTATGGATGGAGTTCCTAAATGGGGAATAAATGCACAGTGATTTCGTTGTTCCGTTAACAATTAACACTTGTACGTATGATATCAGTGATCACCCAAGGCTCTTGCCATGGGCTGCCAAGGCTATGGAAGTCCTCTGTAACCATAGACTCCATCAGCATGTGGACACTGCCATAAGCAAAGTTGATGTTCTCTCTTCCCTTCTGAGAAGAGTATATCCTTCTGTGACGATCATTTCTTTCCACTGGGGTCTCACAGAGATCCTCCATGTAGGCTATTTTTTGGTGAGAGTGTTCGCTTTCCATGCCTGCAGTGAGCCCTTGTTTTATTGGTGTTATTCCCTCTGTACTCTCATTGCCTAATCAATGACCAAAGGGCTCCAGTCTTTATTTCTAATGAGTGTTTTTATTTATTTATAATTTAATGGAAATGCAGAGTTTCAGAAGGAGGCAGAGAAGTACGAGGGAGAGAGAGGGAGAGGGAGAGAGAGAAGGACAGGAGGGCAGGGAGAAAAAGAGAGGGAGAAAGGAAAAGAGTGAAAAAGAGAAAGAAAGACATCTTCCACCAGTGATTCACACCCCAAATGATGGCAATAAATGGAACTAGGCTGTCTTAGGGCAATAAATGGGAGCTTCTTCTGGGTCTCCTACATGGTGTGGACTCAGAAACTTGGGCTGTCTTCTATTGCTTTCCTAAGCATCAGCAGAGAGCTGCATTGGAAGTGAAGCAGCTGAGACTGGAACCGCTGCCCAACTGGGATGCTGGCATCCCAGTCAGAGGCTTCAACTACTATGATGCAGCACTGGCCCCAGGTTCCCACTCTTAGTGTCATGCACTGGGAGATTGACTTTGTGAATTTTGGGTGCACAGAAAGCACACAACGATCTCACTAAACCACATCTCTCTAAGGTAGGATCTGGATAGTCATTCTATGGGCAAGCACTGATTGAGAGATCACCATTAGAAAACAGGTGATTAAGCTCTAGAGAAACACAGAAGAGTTGTGCACTTGATACATTCTGGATAAGATGCCACCCTTGAGCAGATTTCCATCAAGGAACACACTGGGATGCTGCCTGTAATCAAAGTCTGTCTGTAGATCACCTTGAACCCTACTGGCATATTTCCACTTTGCTGCCTTTTTATTCTTGAACATGAATTTTATCTCCATCTCTGCCAGTATCCGCTTCTTTTTCCATACATTTCTCCATCAATGTCAGTTGTCACAACCTGCAGATGTCTTCCAAAGTTTAGGTGGTCTTATTTTTGGATAGTTCATACTTTTGAGACATTACATGTGCTCATCTTTCAGAGCTTTGTTTTCCAGAATTGATAAGCAAAAATATCTCTTTTTGTATTTAATCTAGTATTCCAGCACTACTTAACTCAATTACTGATTTTTGATTGTATTACACCATCCCAATATCAGTTGAGAATGATGCCATTTTAAATCTTCCTTTATAATAACTTGCATGGCTTTCATTTTTATTATATACACAAAGAGACCAATGGGTAATTTCCTGCAGAAGTTACATTCTTTCTGCAACTTTGTATACAATCTTCAGCCATAACTTTCATGTTTCTGGCATTCTAAAATACACTTTAGGATTGAAAACTGATCCTTCTTTTTGGCATTTTGTGTTGTTTTGTTCTTTTTTTATAATTCTTAGATCACTTAAATTTATTAAATGGTTTTCTTCAGAAATGCTCATTCTTATTACTATTTTTCAAGGATTATAAACTGAATTATACTTTATGCAAGACATTGGGCATAATGTAACCTATTTAAAAATACTGTTGGGTTTACATTGTTTAAAATTTCTATGTGTGAATTTATTTCAACAACAGTGTCTTACAATTTCATTTTGCTGAAATATCTGGCAGTATTTGATCAAACAAGTTAAGATGTTCCTGTAGACAGTGAGAGACGGAGAGAGAGGTCTAACTTTTGCCGTTGGTTCACCCTCCAATGGCCGCCATGGCCGGCACACCACACTGATCCAATGGCAGGAGCCAGGTGCTTATGCTGGCCTCCCATGTGGTACAGGGCCAAAGCACTTGGGCCATCCTCCACTGCACTCCCGGGCCACAGCAGAGAGCTGGCCTGGAAGAGGGGCAACCAGGACAGAATCCGGTGCCCCGAGAGGGACTAGAACCCAGTGTGTCAGCGCCTCTAGGTGGAGGATTAGCCTGTTGAGCCGCAGCGCCAGCTGCTGAATTCTAACAGACATTTAAAGAAGAACTAATCCCATTTCTTCTCAAACTATTCAGAACAATCGAAAAAGAGGGAATCCTCCCAAATTCTTTCTATGAATCCAGCATCACCTTAATCCCTAAGCCAGAGAAAGATGCAGCACTGAAAGAAAATTGTAGACCCATATCCCTAATGAACATAGATGCAAAAATCCTCAATAAAATTCTGGCCAATAGACTACAACAACACAACAGAAAAATCATCCACCCAGACCAAGTGGGATTCATCCCTGGTATGCAGGGGTGGTTCAAAATTCACAAATCAATCAATGTGATTCACCACATTAACAGACTGCAAAAGAAAAACCATATGATTATCTCAATAGACGCCGAGAAAGCATTTGATAAAATACAACACCCTTTCATGATGAAAACTCTAAGCAAATTGGGTATAGAAGGAACATTCCTCAATATAATCAAAGCAATTTATGAAAAACCCACAGCCAGCATCCTATTGAATGGGGAAAAGTTGGAAGCATTTCCACTGAGATCTGGCACCAGGCAGGGATGCCCACTCTCACCACTGCTATTTAACATAGTTCTGGAAGTTTTAGCCAGAGCCATCAGACAAGAAAAAGAAATTAAAGGAATACAAATTGAGAAGGAAGAAGTCAAACTGTCCTTCTTTGCAGAAGATATGATTCTTTACTTAGAGGATCCAAAGAACTCTTTTAAGAGACTATTGGAACTCATAGAGGAGTTTGGCAATGTAGCAGGGTATAAAATCAATGCACAAAAATCAACAGCCTTTGTATACACAAGCAATGCCATGACTGAGAAAGAACTGCTAAGATCAATCCCATTCACAATAGCTAAAAAAAAAAATCAAATACCTTGGAATAAACTTAACCAAGGACGTTAAAGATCTCTATGATGAGAATTACAAAATCTTAAAGAAAGAAATAGAAGAGGATACCAAAAAATGGAAAAATCTTGCATGCTCATGGATTGGAAGAATCAACATCATCAAAATGTCCATTCTCCCAAAAGCAATTAATAGATTCAATGCAATTCCAATCAGGATACCAAAGACATTCTTCTCAGATCTAGAGAAAATGATGCTGAAATTTATATGGAGGCACAAGAGACCTCGAATAGCTAAAGCAATCTTGTACAACAACAACAACAATAACAACAACAACAACAAAGCGGCGGCATCTCAATACCAGATTTCAGGACATACTACAGGGCAGTCGTAATCAAAACAACATGGTACTGGTACAGAAACAGATGGATAGACCAATGGAACAGAATTGAAACACCAGAAATCAACCCAAACATCTACAGCCAACTTATATTTGATCAAGGATCTAAAACCAATTCCTGGAGCAACGACACTCTATTCAATAAATGGTGCTGGGAAAACTGGATTTCCACATGCAGCAGCATCAAGCAAGACCCCTACCTTACACCTTACACAAAAATCCACTCAACGTGGATTAAAGACCTAAATCTACGAACTGACACCATCAAGTTATTAGAGAACATTGGAGAAACCCTTCAATTATTGGCACAGGCAAAGAGTTTCTGGAAAAGACCCGGGAGGCACAGGCAGTCAAAGCCAAAATCAACTATTGGGATTGCATCATATTGAGAAGTTTCTGTACTGCAAAAGAAACAGTCAGAAGAGTGAAGAGACAATGGACAGAATGGGAAAAACTATTTGCAAACTATGCAACAGATAAAGGGTTAATAACCAGAATCTACAAAGAGATCAAGAAACTCAACAAAAACAAAACCAACAACCCACTTAAGAGATGGGCCAAGGACCTCAATAGACATTTTTCAAAAGAGGAAATCCAAATGGCCAACAGGCACATGAAAAAATGTTCAAGGTCACTAGCAATCAGGGAAATGCAAATCAAAACCACAGTGAGGTTTCACCTCACCCCGGTTAGAATGGCTCACATTCAGAAATCTACCAACAATAGATGATGGCGAGGATGTGGGGAAAAAGGTACACTAACCCACTGTTGGTGGGAAAGCAAACTGGTCAAGACACTATGGAAGTCAGTCTGGAGATTCCTCAGAAACCTGAAGATAGCCCTACCGTTCGACCCAGCCATCCCACTCCTTGGAATTTACCCAAGTGAAATGAAATTGGCAAACAAAAAAGCAGTCTGCACCCTAATGTTTATTGCAGCACAATTCACAATAGCCAAGACCTGGAACCAACCTAAATGCCCATCAATGGTAGACTGGATAAAGAAATTATGGGATATGTACTCTTTAGAATACTATACCGCAGTAAGAAACAACGAAATCCAGTCATTTGCAACAAAATGGAGGAATCTGGAACACATCATGCTGAGTGAAATAAGCCAGTCCCAAAGGGACAAAAACCATATGTTCTCCCTGATCCGTGATGACTGACTGAACACCAAAAAGGAAACCTGCTTAAGTGAAATGGACACTATGAGAAACGGTGACTTGATCAGCATAGCACTGACTGTTAATGAACAACTTAATACATTATCCCTCTTAGTATTTTTTTGTTGGTTCTACTTAATATGACTGGTTTAATTCTGTAATTAATACACAGTTATTCTTAAGTGTTGAAATTTAACTGAAATGTCATCCCTGTTAAACATAAGAGTGGGAATAAGAGAGGGAAGAGATGTATTATTTGGGACATGCTCAAGCTGACTTGCCCCAAATGGTAGAGTTAGAACCATACAAAGGGATTCCAATTCAATCCCATCAAGGCGGCATGTACCAATGCCATCTCACTATTCCAAGTGATCAATTTCAGTTCACAATTGATCATAATGAAAGGACTAAGAGTCAAAGGGAGCACATAAACAAGTCTAGTACCTGCTAATACTAACCGAAAGAATAAATAAAGGGGAGAGTGATCCAACATGGGAAGGGAGATACTCAGCAGACTCATAGAATGGCAGATGTCCTAAACAGCACTGTGGCCTCAGAATCAGCCCTAAAGGCATTCGGATCTAGCTGAAAAGCTCATGAGAGTATTTCAGGCATGGAAAGCCAGGACACTCTGGAGAAAAAAAAAAAAAAAAAGAAAAAACACCTAAATGAAATGTCTCTCTGAGTGAGAAGGAGGTACCTTTCGCTGAAGGGAGGAGAGAACTTCCACTTTGACCATGGCCTTGTCTAATCAAGGTAAGAGTCGGAGAACTCAAAAGGCTTCCATAGCCTTTGAAACTCTTGACTGGAGCATAGGGAGATTACTGATGCCATAAACAGGAGTGTCAATTTGTAAAGTCAACAACAGGAGTCACTGTGCACTTACTCCTCATGTAGGATTTCTGTCCTTAATGTGCTGTACATTGAGATTTAATGCTATAATGAGTGCTCATACAGTATATTTCACTTTGTGTTTCTATGGGGGTGCAAACTGTTGAAATCTTTACTTAATGTATACTAAACTGATCTTCTGGAAAAAAAAATGAAAAAGAAAAAAGAAATTATCAATTCCCAACTTGACTCTCACTGGGATTAAACATGACAATAGGTCTGATCTGATTTCCTCATCCTTTAAAAAAATCATCTATTATTTTTCACTTTATGTTTCTGTGTGGGAACAAACTGTTGAAATCTTTACTTCATGTATGCTAAACTGATCTTCTGTAGATAAAGATAATTGAAAATGAATCCTCATATGAATGGAAGGGGAGAGGGAATGGGAAAGGGGAGGGTTGCATGTGGGAGGGACGTTATGGGGGGTAAGCCATTGTAATCCATAAACCGTACTTTGGAAATTTATATTCATTAAATAAAAGTTTAAAAAAAAAGATGTTCCTGTAGAAGAAACAGAAATTTTCCTATTCTGTACAGGAATTGAGAAAAAGAGTTCCTTTCCTATGTGAACGTTTGATAAAGGTGTTTATCTCAATAAAAGTATTGGGAATTATTTTAATAACTGTGAGGTTACTTAGACTTTTCAAATATTTCAGAAAGTATTTCATAATAATTCTATCTGGAAATTTTTGAATTTCTTCTATATTCTTCAATCTATCACCATTAAATGATTAACATGTTCGAATATTAATATTAGTATCTTTTATATCTGTACAGAGACCTCTTCAGCTCTCTTTGTGTTACACACACAGACATTGTAATCTGGTTTTTAGTACTGTTCCAACTGGCTGAGGTTCATAAATTTTGCTTGTTTTATGATCACCAACTGTAAGCTCTTCCAATTTTTATTTACTTCAGTTTCCTCATATGTCCACAACCAATCTTCAAGCACTTGTGTTGAATTTGCTGTCATTGACCTACCTTGATATGCATACTTTTTACCATGGATGTCAGCCTGTATTCTTTCAAAATAAATTTTACTCATGAGTGTGTATGAGTGTAAGCATATGAATGTTCCTGAAGCTTTATATTTTGATATGCAATGATTTTGCTCAAAGGCTAAGGTTAGCTCGTTTATGATATCTGATGAGTATTATCCTCAGCATGATATACTGTATAATTTCTAATACAGTTTTTCAAATTACACACAGTTTGATGAGAGTTGTGCTTTCTCACTCCAAGCATGCTATGCTTGAATTAGGTGAAAGCATTTTATCTATTCATGTACAAGGAACACAGACGTGAATTTACCTAAATGATTTTGCAAATACTACATGCAGTAAAGTATAGTGTCCAAACTTTTATCATTTTAAGGGTTATTACTGAATATAAGGTTTAACTTCTACCAGAAGGTGAAAAGAATCTTCTCAGCAGTCATACTCCACATCCTTTTCTTTCCATGGAGAAGAGGAATATTTTAAGAAACAGGTGTTAACTTCTCCATGAGGCTGGCACTGACTTACCAGTCTGATTGGAAATCTCATTCTCAGAACAAGGTGTGCAATCAAAACAACAGGTAGGCTTTCCCTCCAGAGGGGTTTTCCTGAATCCAGGGCTACAACTCTCACTGCATACTGAGTGTGAAGTCTGAGAAAAATCAGATGAGTGTGGGTCAGAGTTGGGACTATTGCTTATGTTCCATGTAGAGTGCTTTCAAGTCCTGCACAACCTGTTCACTTAAACTGTAAATACCTATTTCTGACACAATGATGGCATGCAAGTTTATTTTCTAAATAAATAGATTCAAAACATGTGGAGGAACAAGTGCATGTACTGTCCAACCTCAGACACTAAAAACATAAGAAAGTATTTAGATTGGAAGCGGTGTAGTTTAATGTCTCTAAGTGTGTTTTTAATAAGCCAAGTGGCACAAATCCCCATATGAATTGTGGGTAACAATGTGCATTGTGAACCTTATGATCAGCTGCAACTTACCTCTGTAATTCCTGTGGCCCATTCTATCAAATTCTCAGAGAGAGACAACTTCTGGCTCTGTGAGGCATAAGGGGAAAACTGTCCTACTTTAACCTTACGTCCAACACCATATGGAAAATTCCAAAAGTTGAGAATGTCATATTCAGCTTCCAAATTCGTCATGTGATTCAAATTCACTAGGTCACCCACAGGATTGGTAAATTGGAGGTTCTTGAGAAATGGGTGCAACTGAAAAAATACATCATATTCACATGAAGACTGCCCAAGCAATAACACATCAAACCCAGGTTAGAGAAAGCCTTTTGTATGTAATCACAAATAAACAAAGGGAACTTTTTATAGCTACCCAATGAATTAAAACTAAAAACCTATGAGTCTGCTGAGATTCTCACTTCCCATGTTGGATCACTCTCCCCTTTATTTACTCCATCAGTTAGCGTTAGCAGGTACTAGACTTGTCTATGTGCTCCCTTTGACTCCCAGTCCCTTCACCATGACCAACTGTGAACTGAAACTGATCACCTAGAACAGTGAGATGGCATTGGTACATGCCACCTCAATGGGATTGAATTGGAATCCCCTGGTATGCTTCCAACTCCACCACTTGGGGCAAGTCAGCCTGAGCATGTCCCAAATTATACATCTCTTCCCTCTCCCATTCCCACCACCATGTTCAACAGGGATCACATTTCAGTTAATTTTCAACACTTAAGAATAACTGTGCATCAATTACAGATCTAAACCAGTCATATTAAGTAGAACAGATAAAAAAAACTACTAAGAGGGATAATGTATTTAGTTGTTCATTAACAGTCAGGGCTATGCTGATCTAGAATGGCAGATGTCCTAAATAGCACTCTGGCCTCAGAATCAGCCCTAAAGGCATTCGGAGCTGGCTGAAAAGCTCATGAGAGTATTTCAGGCATGGAAAGCCAAGACACTCTGGCAAAAGATCTCTGCGAGTGAGATCCCAGTGGAAAGAACAGGCCATCAAAGAAGGAGGTACCTTTCTCTGAAGGGAGGAGAGAACCTCCACTTTGACTATGAGCTTGTCTAAACAAGATAAGAATCGGAGAACTCAGAGGGCTTCCATAGCCTTGGAAACTCATGACTGGAGCATAGGGAGATTACTGATGCCATAGACAGGAGTGTCAATTGGTAAAGTCAACAACAGGAGTCACTGTGCACTTACTCCTCATGTAGGATTTCTGTCCTTAATGTGCTGTACATTGAGATTTAATGCTATAACGAGTACTCAAACAATATATTTCACTTTGTGTTTCTATGGGGGTGCAAACTGTTGAAATCCTTACTTAATGCATACTAAACTGATCCTCTGTAAAAAAAAAAAAAAAAGAAATTATCAATTCCCAACTTGACTCTCACTGGGATTAAACATGACAATAGGTCTGCTCTGATTTCATCATCATTTTAAAAAATCATCTATTATTTTTCACTTTATGTTTCTGTGTGGGAGCAAACTGTTGAAATCCATACTTAATGTATACTAAGCTGATCTTCTGTATATTAAGATAATCGAAAATGAATCTTGATGTGAATGGAAGGGGAGAGGGAGTGGGAAAGGGGAGGGTTGTGGGTGGGAGGGACGGTATGGGGGGAAAGCCATTGTAATCCATAAGTCGTACTTTGGAAATTTATATGCATTAAATAAAAGTTAAAAAAAAAAAAAAAAACTAAAAACCTGATGAGAACTACATCAAAGTAAGTATGATTTCACTCATTTTCATCTAAAAACTAGGGCAATCAAAAATATCTAACTGTGAGATTCTGATCATTTCCAACTGTGGACTCCATGCTACCAACACTCACTTATTTTCTCAGTGTACCTAGGACAACCATCTGTAGTACAGTTACCAGGATAAAAAATATGCAATTTAATGAGATGTCTTATGTACATTGTGGATGAACATACTCAACAACATTTGACACTAAAAAGTAATAATTTTTTATCGTTGAGACTGAAAACAGATGACAGAGTCTAGGTATTCACAAGTCCTAATTAAACAGACATGATGGGAGAGTACTTTTTAAGACACAACACTGAAGCTTATCCAAGTTACCTTCCCACTTGTCAATGGAACCCTGTGTCTTATGACAAATTACAAGCAGAGGCTCATATATATCTTGTGATTGGAGAAATGTTCCCAAGCTACTTGGTTTGAACACCGGCAGAAGCTCTTAAGGGGATCACATCAGGAGTACATGTCATACAATGGAAACCAAATTACCTGCCAGGGAGAAAATGCCACCTTTGCCCCATTGTTCACTGGCTGCATTTCTAACAATTGTAGAAGCATCTCATGTATGCTGTGGGCCACAGCATACACAGCATTATATATGTTGTAACTCCCATCACTCATGCTCATATCAAAACAATGTGGAGGCAAGGATTCCAAGGAGGCATTCAGTGGACAGTTCTGCAAAGTTTTACAGGATGCCCCAGTAACTGAGCAATCAAATACCAATAACCAGAATCTTAAGAGGTAAATGTCTTCTGGGTATTTGGAAGGATTAGCTGTCTGAAGAAAGTTTTTGAAACCAGAGATCTCACCATGGTGGTGTGAAAAAATGAGAGTCCCATGGAATGAGTGGAGCAGGATATGATGCTCATCGCTGGCAAAATCCCATTGTGAGGTGGTGACCCAGACTTTCCATGTCATTACATGTTCCCATGTTGAAAAGCTGATGCCTATGAGTGAATCAGTGTCACAGAAAAGAATCACCACATTTGCTGATGATTTTAGGATCTGGATATGAAACCTATTCTGGAGTGAAAAATAAGACTCCTCAGTGACTGGGATCAGTTCCACAAAGTCCACACAGATGCCATTCTTCTGCAGCTCTACTTTCAAATTGGACATAAACTGAATACCTTTTGGGAGGTCTGAGATGGCCAAACCCACCCACGTCCAGCTGAAATGAAGCATCAAGGAGACTATGCCAAGGGCCAGAGAAGTGTCTTTGGGGGCCATCAGATAGAGGGAAGGAAACTGACCACTGTCACTCAGAAGTGGTTCAAAAGACCCAAGAGTCAGCTAAGAGAAAATGCAAGAAATTTGTGTAAGTATATTGCCATAGTGTACTATCTTACTCCTGAAGAAATTAAGCAGATGATGGAAGCATCAGAAGATTTTACAATATTTCATTTTTCTCATCCCCCTGCATGAAAACATCCTAGTTCCTGAGACATTACATTCACAGATTAAGGAAAACATTTCTCCTTTTCACTCGCCAACACTCTGCTTCTGACAATATGTGGCTAACCCACCTAATCTCTATACACCTTCGCTTTTGATCACATGCTGTGGCAAGTGTATTTGGTTCTGTCACTTAAATTTTTGGGTCTAAGTCAGGCACCTCAGGTGATGTGTTTTATCCCTCTCTTTCACTTACACACTCACCTGTGGAATTTTGTAGAGTTCCAGCAGTGTCCCTACTTGGACAGCAATGCTTGTTCCTGATATTACAGCTACAGACTTGCTCCATTTCCTACACATGTAATTAGGAACATCCTCTTCTAGTCCTGCAAGCCAGATGAAGGGATTCTGCATCACCATCATGTCACTGTGCATGACATTATAGAGATCAAATCCCAAGGTCACATTGGGTAAAAGCTGGGGGTTCTTGTTGATCTCCTCAATAGCAAAAACCAAGGCCAGAACATACTGGTAGTTTTTGGACTGAAACCTGTATGAAAGGCACAAGGATCTTTAAGGGAGAAGCCTCAAATCCAGATTATCATCAATTCTTCTGTAATAACTGTAACAGATGGATTGGTCTTGGCCAAAGATTCATATGTTCTAATGATTATCTGCACATTTGCTGAGGACAGCGTGTTAAGAGTGTTGAATTTGCAGGACACATGTCTTCACCAGAACCATAGCTGCTACTCCCTTGATCTCAGGTCTCCCAGCCTAAATGATTCTGAAAATAAGATCTGCTTTTACATTATAATGTCTTGGGCATGTTATCACATGGCTGTCCATGCAGACAAAGAAAATGATCTTATTTTTTAATATAAACCTATCAATTTAAATCATCTCTGGCAACAACTACGTCTTCTAAGTTTTTATATTTGATATCTAAATGCTATAATATGCTCTGGAATGCCCTTTCAAAAGTTTATGCACACCTAGAAAGAACATTCAAGTTTCAAAGAAAACTTGACAAGGAAAGGTGCATCTTTAGCACTGCCTCTACAAATACTCCTATATTTGGAAACTACAATGATGCTTCATCTTATCACATCATTATATGCTTCTTGAAATAGGAGTCCTATGATCATAAGGCTGCAGGTTGTAATGGGAAAAGAGAGTAACTCAACTGAAGGCTATGTGATCACATAGAAGGATGACGTCAAAGCACTGAGAATGGTAGATGTAAGTCTGGATATATCCTGAAAAATCTCTTCCCCAACAAACTCACCCATCAACCACCATCACAAGCCAGGAAAATGAAATCAGATTCAGAGCTTGAAAGAAGGAAATCAGTGAAAAGGGAGGGACACTTTAGAAAAGCCTGAAACACTCCCCAGTTGGATTTGTAATGCTTTACAATTAAGACAGTCATGCATTTATTTTGAACACTAGGTATATATTAAAGTAAATCATTATCAGTGGTATAAGTATATACTCCAAACTGGCCTTATTCACCCAATTTTCCCTACAGAACCAAACATAAATATCCTTCCATGCAAAGAACATGAAGCATTTCTACTTTCCAGGTTCTGACATTTCACAAAGTGTGTAAATGAGGAGCCCCTTGTATGTATTTCAGATTTACTCTGTGTTGAGTCATTATGAATAGATTAGGTCACGTACACTGATATTAAGGGTCACTGTGTGCTCCAGAGGAAGTGACAGTTTTTCTTTTCTTGGTTCATGTTGCAACATAATATGTATGTATGCATGCATATTATATACATATTCTGCCTATATATTTATATATAGGTATCCATTACCATGTAAAGAGTTGCTCAATATCTATTGTTTTATATAAATCTAATTTCTATAAATATTTGTTATCCAAATATTTCACTCATACTTTGTGTACAGAATGAAGAACACTAAAAATCCTTGCTAAGAGTATCAAATAATATTCTATTTTGTAGTTCATATTTCTCTGTTCCCCTCCTCATTCTTTACATTTCCATCAATTCCTTAACCTCTCATTTCTTATTCCCGCTGCCATTGGTAGAAAAGGTCTAAAAGATTTTTGGACACACTGGGCATTTTTGAGAGTTGCCTTTTCAATCTGTTTTATGTTGTGTTTCTTATCTCTAAGAACAGTTTATAAATAATTATTGGGTATTCTAAAGTTCTTGAATCTTATATTATATTCCCAAGTATCATTAACACAGGCATTTTCTCCTGGGTTTGCTAAGATTTGGTTATGATCTCCAGTTGGCAAGGTATACATCTTGGAGGAACCTGGGCTCTATTCATAGACTTTATTCCTACTACGGGAAATTTACACTCTTCTGGTCTCCATCATTTAGGGTACATGTAAATGATGTACTGCATGCATAACCATGGGAAATACCACTACTAATAATAAATAAATATTTCATAATTGGGATGTCATGTGCACTATCAAAATAGGCAAATTCATAAAAATCATGTGACGTGAATAATATCATTATACCAAGCTGGTATCCATTAGATTTTTTCTGGATAGAACTTAGGACAAATGCCTAAAATACTTGATCAGTTGTCTCACCTTTGTGGCACCAACTATAATTCTAAATTCCATTGGCTTTAATGATACTGCAATGATATATGTCCTAATATCTACCTTCTATCAAAGATCTATGTATCATCAACCTACTTTTATAGCTTAGAGTAGAAACCAATTAGAAATTAGCACCAAAATAAACAGATGTGAGGAAAACAATTTCACTGTCCTACAAGATACTATATTCTGGAGGCATGAAATATTCCTATATAAATATATATGAAACATTTATATTTAGCTACAGGTAGACTGTATCTTAAAGATGTGCAGAAGCAGAATAATCCCTCTTCTGAAATGTATTTTTCCAGAAAAAGAATCAGGGGTGCATCCTGAATGTGTAGATTCCAACCATTACAGTTCTGATGGGTATATTCATCATTAACATACAATTATTATTATACTTGTGGCCTGAGGTTACTTTTACCTAGTAAAATCTTACTTTCTTGAATATCTTTTCTTCTTTTTGACTGTAGAAGAAATGAAGTGAGCTCATGGCCCCAAATCTAATATGTAGCAGAAAAGTTTGTGAGCACATGTGGAAGAGCTCATGTAACTCAGGGTTGTTCATTTCAGTGCATGGGTTCTGTAAGAACCTGCTACTGAGGCACAATAGGCCCCTGAGCAGATGAACGTGGACAGCAAAGGACAAGAAGATCCCAACCAGACTCTCCTTTCTCCTATGATGAGATAACATTTCCCTGAACAATTCAATGTGCCAGGCAGAAAGAAATGTCTTCCACATGCCCCAAGTTAATTATCAGAACTTTTTAGGTGGGACAGAAATGGAAAGGGCAGGGACACACAAAGCATGTGTCTATCCATCTGCAGACCCAATAGCAAGCATCTATTATGTAAATCAAGGAAAATGATTATGGCAAAGAGAACTTACCCTTTGAATGTGACATGGTTTTTGAAAATATTAATCATTCTGTCCACAAGGTATATGTAAATGGGGAAAAAAGCAGCGATCTCAATATCTCCATCCTTGTAATAACTCCGTTCCATCTGGAAAAAGCAGTTCTGATCATCATGACAAGTCACAAGGAGACACAATTGCAAAAAGAGCAATAGAAAATTCAAAGGGAACATCTTCAAAGTCTGTGAAAACCCTAGGACACAACCATAGTGGAACTTGAAGGGTCATGCATGTGCATACAAATAGCATGTGTGTGTGTGTGTGTGTGTGTGTGTGTGTGATTCCTCACATCAAGCCATTTTAATACTGCTCAATCTGATTTCTTTCTACCATCTGTCCATTCGTCCATGTGGGAATCTGGAAGCCTTTCTACCCTGAGGCTCTGCAGCTCAGGGCTTCTGTCCTGATGAAAAACACAAGAAGGAAAACATGTTTGTGAATCATCCTCTTCACCCCAGGTGCAAGTATTTCCTCCAAGTCCATGGGTACAAAGACTCAAGGGCATAAATTCTATTAGTTACTTTTGGTCCATGGGCTTTGTCAATAAACCTCTCCATGAACTTTTGGCAATTATGTACCTGGATTGCATCAGAGGGCATGAAGAGAGGCATCAGGTGAGTTTCTCAGAAAGTTTTCAGACCAGAAAAATCCAGTGTAACACACTTCAAAGACCCAAAGAACAATAGGGCAGCCTCCAGACCCCATGTTCTGGGGAGCCACACATTGCCTTGATGCCACACAGACCCAAAGCAGATCCTGTTTACAAAGATACCCAATAGGCCTTCTGATTCTCAAGCACTGTGGAACCAGTAATCACCCTGAATTCAGGAGTTTCATTCTGTATGTCAAATCATCACATCTTCAGTTGTAAAATATGAAGCCCTTCCACATTGCTGTTAACCATGGTAATCTCATGGTAATCTGTTTTCACACTAAAACCTTGGTTAATACTCTCATGAGAACTAGGGACTATTTGAGGACTTCTCACTTTTTACTATAAGGCAGACAAGACTAGCTGGAAGTCATCACTTTATTCCCACCACGACAAACACCAAGGGCAGGATGATGCATACAGATACTTGTACTTCTTGAATGTAAATGACTTCAAGGACTCATGTAGGACACCATCAGGGCAGCTACATACCTTTAACACTTTGCAAAACCAAGAGACTGCACAACACAACTGAACAAAATGGATAGCATGTCTTGTAAGCAATAATGATGATCAACACTGACTAATCATTTGTGCTTGCATATCAGTGTGAGGTATCACTAATGGAGTAAATCTAATGAGGAGGTAAACAAGAGAGCATGGAAGAGAACTCTGTTATCCCACTCAGAAGTTTCCTAAACTCAAACTTCTATCAATGAGTTCCCTAATATTTTAAGCAAAACACATTCTCCATTGCCTAGTCAATGCTCTGATGCCATTAGTGAGATTTTGAATACAGGCTCATGCAAATTGAGATGAAGTATAGGCACAAAACACACAAAATTCACTGACTTGCATAAAATTGAAAATATAATGTCTTGATGAGTTAGATTTATTACCAGTACAATGACAAAACTTGTTGTCTATTCAGTTAAACAAGAAAAGTAAATCTAAATCAGAAAGCAAACATCTCCCGTTCTCTCTAATGTGTAGAAACTAAAAGTAGAGTCAATCTGAATGCACAAGATTCACTGAATAAAGGTTAGGACTGGAAAGGATGAATTCCATGCAATGAGAAGGCTTCAAAAATGTAATGAAAATGTGTGTTATGAAACATTATGCATGAATTTCAAAAAATTTGACACCCAGATCTATTCATCATTTTTTTGCTTAACTATTTCTTTCATATTTATCACATATCTTCTACATTCTTTTTTATAGAAAACTTTTATTTAACAAATGTAAATTTCAAAAGTACCACTTTTGGATTACAGTGGTTCTTCCTCCCGTAACAACCCTCCCACCGGCATACCATCCATCTCTTAATCCCTCTCCCATCCCATTCTTCACTCAGATTCATTTTATTATCTTTATATACAGAAGATCAACTCTATACTAAGTAAAATTACAACAGTTTGCACCCACACAGACACACAAAGTATAAAGTCCTGTTTGAAGATTAGCTTTACCGTTAATTCTCATAGTACAACACATTAAAGACAGAGGTCCTATATAGGAGCAAGTGTACAGTAACTCCTGTTATTGATTTAACAATTGACACTCTTATTTATGATGTCAATAATCACCTGAGGCTTTCATCATGAGCTGCCAAGGCTTTGGAGCCTATTTTTTTTTTTTACAAATAGAGTTAGACAGTGAGAGAGAGAGAGGCAGAGAGAAATGTCTTCCTTTGTTTGTTCACCCCACAAATGGCTGCTGTGGCCGGAACTATGCCGATCTGAAGCCAGGAGCCAGCTGCTTCTTCCTGGTCTCCCATGTGGGTGCAGCCATCCAAGCACTTTTGCCCATCCTCCACTGCCTTCCTGGGCCAGAGCAGAGGTAGACTGGAAGAGGAGCAACCAGGACTAGAACCCGGCGCCCATATTTGATGCCAGTGCCACAGCGGAGGATTAACTAAGTGAGCCACGGCACTAGCCCCTGGAAGCCTCTTCAGTTCACAAACTCCAATCTTATTTAGACAAGGCCATAATTAAAGGGGAAGATCCCTCCTCCCTTCAGAAAAAGGTACTTCCCTCTTTGATGGCCCATTATTTATGCTGGGATCTCACTGACAGAGATCTTTCTTTAGGCTTTTTTTTTTTTTTTTTTTTTTTTTTTTGCTACAGTGTCTTGGCTTCCCTTGCCTCCATGCCTCTCATAAGCTTTTCAGCCAAATCCAAATGCCTTAAGAGCTGATCCTGAGGCCAAAGTGCTGTTTAGGGCATTTGTAATTCTATGAGTCTGCTGTGTATCCAGCATCCTATGTTGGATTGTTCTCTCCTTTTTAATTCTATCAATTATTATTAGCAGACACTGGTCTTATTTATGTGATCCTTTGACACTTAATCCTATATTTATGATGAATTATGAACTTAAACTGATCACTTTAACTAGTAAGACGGTGTTTATATCTGCCAATTTAATGTGATTTTGAGTCCCATGACACATTTTTAGCTTTACCCTTAGGGATAAGTCCGAGGGAGGATGTGCCAAACTGTATATCTCCTCCATCTCTTATTCTCACTCTTATTCTTTTTGAAAGGCTTATTTTATTTATTTGAAAGACAGAGCTACAGAGAGAGGTAGAGACAGATAGAAAGGTTTTCCACCCACTGCATCACTTCCCAGATGGCCGCAATGGCCGGGGCTGCACCAATTGGAAGCCAAGAGATAGGAGCTTCTTCCAGGTCTCCCACGTGGGTGCAGGGGCCCAAAAACTTGGGCCATCTTCTACTGCTATCCCAGGCCATGGAATAGAGATGGATCCAAAGAAGAGCAGCTGGGACTTGAACCAGCACCCATGTGGGATACTGACACTTTAGGCCATGGCTTTAACCTGCTGCACCACAGGTTTGGCCCCTCCCACTCTTATTTTAACAAGGATCAATTTTCAGTTAACTTTAAACACCTAAGGATAATTCAATGTTAATTCAAGAGTTCAACCAATGGTATTAAGTAGAAAAAGAAAATACTAAAAAGAATAAAATAGTAAACTGTTGCTCAAAGCACTAATCAAGTCATTGCTTCTCCTGGTGTCAGTTTCACTTCTACAGGTTTCCTTTTAGGTGCTCAGTTAGTTGTCACAGATCAGGGAGAACATAGGATATTTGTCCCTTTGGGACTGGCTTATTTCACTCAGCATGATGTTTTCCAGATTCCTCCATTTTTTGTTGCAAATAACCAGATTTCATTTTTTGCTTTTACCACTGTGTAGTATTCTATAGAGTTCATATCCATAGTTTCTTTATCCATTCTACCATTGATGGGCATTTAGGTTGATATCACCTCACCTGTCCGAATGGCTCTCCTACAGAAATCAACAAACAACCTGTGCTGGAGAGGATTTGAAGGAAAATGTACCCTCATCCACAGGTTGTGGGAATATAAACTGATTCAGTCATTGTGAAACACAGTATAGGAACCTATGAGAGCTGAAAATAGATCTGCCATATGACCCATCCAACTGATTCCTAGGAATCTCCTCAAACAAAATGAAATCAGCACGAAAAAGGGTCATCTATACCCCCATGCTCATTGCAGCTCAATTCAAAATAGCTAAGAAATGGAATCAACCCAGATATCCATCAATAGCTGACTGGATAAAGAAACCATGGTATATATACTCTAAGAATATTAATCAGCAGGAAAAAAAAAAAGAAAGGAAATCCTGTCTATCGCAACAAAATTGATGCAGCTGAAAACCATGATACTTAAGAGAAATCAGCCAGTATCAAAAACAGACATAAACCATATGTATTCTCTTATCCATCATAACAATTGCCTAAATGTAATGTTGGAGTAAAACTGACAATTTGAGATTCATGTTTTTTTTTTTTTTTATAGCGTTTGTCTTTATTTTGAGGAATAGTGTTGGTTTCTTCATACCATTTGTAGAACACATTACATATGGTAAGGTTAATCTCCTGAGTATAAAGTAAACCAGAAAACAGTTCTTTGCAAAAATTAAGAGTGGCAATAGGAGAGGGAGGAGGAAGAAGAATAAGATTGGGGCTTGCGCTGTGGAGCAGTGGGATAACACCCTGGTCTGAAGTGCCAGCATCCTATATGAGCACCAGTTTGATACTCGTTTGTTCCAATTCCTGTCTGGCTCTCTGTGTGGCCTGGGAAGGCAGTGGAGGATGGCCCAAATCATGGGAGACCTGGAAGGAGCTCCTGGCTTTGGCTCGGCACAGCTCTGGCCATTGCGGCCAATTGGGGAGTGAATCATCAGATGGAAGACCTCTCTCTCTCTCTGCCTCTCCTCTCTCTGTTTAACTCTTTCAAATAAAATAAATAAATCTTTTTAAAAAAAAGAAGCTTCAGATTTTTGTGGACAGGATGAATGGATAGGTGGGAAGTATCTCTGTGATCTAAAACTGTATATATGATATTCATGAAACTTGCATACATCAAGTGAAATTTGAAATATAAACAAAT